GTAGTATCAAAACTATAAGGCATTGTACGCTTGTGACTTTCTGCGGCACATTTAGGCTTCGCTGTCTCTAGTGGTCACTTGCTGGTTTTTTTTGAATGCGACAGAAAGGATGTGCTCTTTCGGAAGCCCACTATGAAGAAACTGTTGAATTCGACTTGGTCCTATTCACGTGAGTACTGGTGTTTTGCCTCTGAGTTCACTCTCATAGGCCGGGATTTTGGAAGCGTTTGTGCCGCCTTTATGAACCCCTACTGGATACCGAAACATCTGTTTGCATTTAGCACATATATAGACCGCTTTTTCTCTGAAAAAAAAACTAAAATTCGGACAACATATGTTCCATAATATGCGAGCAAAATTGGGACCTTTTTAGCCCACGCGAAAGGACGAATCGACGTGGATCAGTCGAAGGAAAAGAACACGCATTTTGCTTGCCTGACCTAACTCAGCATCAGAGGCTAAAAAGAGATGCAGACTATGGACGCGCAAGGTCTTCAGTATTTATAGAAGGCGGTTGCTATGCCATTGCTTCTCTCTTAATGCTAGCAGTCCCCTTCAGACGTCTGTACTTGCTGTGAAGATAACTTGCTCGCCCCCACCCCTGTTGTTAATGGACAGGATTTTATCATCCGGTTTTGTCAAATGACATGTTGTTGGCTCGATAATTAGGTTTGCCGGTCGAAACAGTGTTCGCCCTCCCCCCGCCCACATTCGCCAACCAGTAACGAAGTCCCCTCTCTCGCCGCCCTTCCCAATTCGGCGCCCAGACTCTACCTGGGCTGAGTACTTAATCACGCAGGGAACGAACGCGTAAACATTATTTCCGGGGGCGGTACGTGGGTGCGGGAGGGGCGACGGATTTCCGAGCGATTATCACGCCAATTAACAACACTGGTGATGAAATCGTGGCCATTACTGACTCGGATGTGGACAGCAGGGCTATTCAAGCAGTAGGTACGCACTCCTGCAGCCGGCGTGGAAGCTGTTAATTCTAGCACGTGTATGTTTACAATGCACCTGTCGCCTCCGGTGTGTCCGCCACCTTCACATACTGCTGTCTGTAAAATGGCAAATTTGGGCGGGAATCTGAACTGTAAAGTGAATAAAATTCTTGTTCCAACCATCGAGCCTGCTCCGTAGTCCTCTTCATAACAGCATATAAAAATGTGTAAGTTACCCTGAGGAAAAGCAAGCAGCTTGTAGTTTGAAGACCCCGAATGCACGTGTAACTGCAGGGTGAATTCAAAATTATTCCGGAATGACGAATGATTTCAAAAGACACTTACGCCCTTTATTCAAGAATAAAACTTCAAGAAAACGAAATTTATCACAAAGCGTATGAGGGAAAAAATTGCTTTTGTGTACGTTCTCCACAAATGCATTTGGATCTGTATGAGCATCAAAAACCAAGAAGAGCAATCCATGCTACTTTAGCAGTCATTTTATACGGAATATAATTTATTCAGGCGGTCTGTGTCAAGCCCATTGGAAAGCTGTTGTGACCGGAACATCTAGAAGTTATGTGACATGATAACTGATTTGACAGCCCTACTTAGGTAATCTTCTTGAATTTAAAACACACTTCAGGATTTCAGCCAACATTGCTTGAGATCACGGGACTACTGTAGGTTAGTGGGGCAGTGCTAGCAGTAAAATGCGGCGGCTATTAGCCAGTACAGCAAATGCATCCATTATATACTGCCGTCCTTACACAAGTAGTACCCTTATCTGATGCTGCATCCGGTTGTGGATTCAAATGTGTTCCCGAAAGTCAGATCAGATCAGATCAGATTTATAAAGGTTAAAGTAGGCGAGCGCCTTTGAACTCCCTTTTTGTTACAATAACGTCATAAAAAAAACAATGTGTAAGGCAAGTGTCAAAGAAAATTAGGTAAGTAATTAAATACAACAAGCATTGGTCACTGGCGAATACAATTCGGTCAGATGTGATTTGGCAGCCCTACCTGAAGTAAGCAAACCCCAGTCACCTCTAATACGACATCGGTGGTAATGGGGATTTTAACAGGTGGTTCGGAAAACGCACAGGCAACGAGGTCAGGTAGTTGTATAAAAAAGAAAAGCTATTGGGAAGACGCGGTTGCACTTCGAGCGATTGAGAAATAGCTGCCCTAACCGCTTTACCCTATCCCCAACCCTGACCCCTATCTCTAACCCCTAACCCATAACAGTATTGTGTCTATAAGGTGCGTCTGTATAACCATATCTTACCTACAATTCTTTCAGCAACTGGACCGTACAGTCATTGCAAGTCTGCCTTGCTGATGACGCTGGCAGTGCGAAGTTCAGTTTCGTCGGGTTCCGTCGATTGCCTAAAGTCGCAAACCAGGCACCTGAACCTTAGTTTCCGACCATATAGGCAGCGGCTCCAGAAAACGTGTGCATTAGTGCCCAAATGCCTCCCGAGGGAGCTTTTGATCTATTTGCATCACCCGTGGCTCGTTTCTTGGTTTTTTTTAAAGCAAAAATTTACTGGACAGACAGTAAGGAGCCATCATCATTATGAAATCGCAACCGGTCCACTGAATGTTCATCACGAAAGCCTTACTCGTTGCAATACAGTCATGCGGTCTTCGAGGTACTGGTCGTGACGACAGATAAGGTGGGTTTGGTTTTGGGCACGACTGATTTCTGTCAATTCGAGTTCCAAAGGGGCAAACCTCTTAAATTTTCTGTTTGCGGACCATATCCTTTGTCCCCTACATTGCCTAGGTAGCCAGTCTAAACCTCATTTGGCTTTAGGTTCTTCACATACTCAGGGAAAAAATAATGATATGAAGAAGAAAACGAGCAAAGAAGGATGAAAAAAGAGTGATCAGTCGGTGATAACTTTCGGACTAATGCTGGAACCCATCATTGGGAATTGTGATCTGCAGACAGAGAGAGGTGGAGATACACAGACGCGGTGTGATATTTACAGTAAGTGGGCTAATTCATGAAACGTCAACCAAAATTCAGAAATGCGTTTTCATTCCGGAAAGATTAATTAAATAGTGCTGTAAAAGTAGGCAGCCTGCAGTATAATTCTATAATATTCCAGTTACCTCAGGATGTCGACTTTCGAATGAACTTTCTTTTGGCTGAATGCAAAAATTGCACTCCGTAAAAATGTCTTCTTAGTTAGCATGCATTTGCCTCATTGATTTTTGATGCCGCTAAAAGTTCAATGATATTTCATGGAAATCATGCATAAAATATTCATTCTTTTGCTCATTCGGTAGAAAATTTCGTCTTCTTTCAATTTTGTACTCGCAGGAGGGACACAGTTCGGTTTCAAAAAATGTTTCTAATTGTGGGACTTTTAAATGCCGTGAAATAGCCCTTCATAAATCGTCATGTCTCTGCATTTATCAATGTGGCTTGTAAAGTTAACAGTGTGGATCAAACCCACTGTTAAATTTTATGAATCCTATATAATCCCCCTTTAGTTTGTAGAGAATTGTGTGGTTTTCCGTACGCGGAAAGTATACGGCTTGTAGATTCGAGACCCTGAATCCAAGTACCACCGTAGAGCGGGTTCAAAATTATTCGGGAATTGGAAGTTTTTGGAAGCCGAATTATACCCTTTTTCGAGTATCATATTGAAAGAAAATGTAATTTTCTACCGAAACAGCAAAAGAATAAATATTTTTATGTATGTTTTTAAGAAATATAGTTGGACTTTTGGGAGCATCGAAAATCAATGAGAAAAATTCATGCTAGTTAAGTAGTCATTTTTTGCAGAGTGTTGTTTTTGCATGCAGCCGAAAAGAAGTTCGTAAAAAAGCCAGCATCCTTAGGTAGCTGAAATATTAAAGAATTGTGTTGTAGGCTGACTAGTTTTACAACCCTACATAATTAATCGTTTCGAAACGAAAACGCATTTCGGAATTTTGGTTGACATTTCATGAGTTAGCCCTCTTACTGTATACCGTGCAGTTGTTATGCAATCACACGTCTATTGGTTGTCCATCATTTATTGATCTCCGAAACCTGATCCTACGCCTTATCTGCAGTTAGACTGATCAGTACTCATTCCAGTAGGTACAGCGTCTGCCGTAGGCCTCCACAACGAATGCTCCACGCTCGACCGTCCAGTAGTTGGCTCGTTTGAATTAGCGATAGCCATCTTCAGCCACATTTGCCTACTGCAGATGTGGGGGGGGGGTGGTGGGCTTCCTGCCTAAGTGTGCGTGATACGCGCCGACAAGGAGCAACACCTGCCATCGCTTATTAGATTTGGTGGCACGCATGGAGAATGCCCGACTGCAGGAATCCAGCATTTTGTCCCCAAATTAAACCGGGGCGTCACCGCACGCGATGGGAAACGTTGCGCCGCACATGCAATCCACTTTTGTCCCAAACTGGCCTGCGCTCGTCTTCCTTAAGACGATGTTTACCCCTCACCACACCCGCCTACATCCCTATGGGTAGATAGGAGAGTTCTAATGCCCAAAAAGGACGCATTAATGACTTTATTAACTAAATGCTCTCTTCAAAAGCCCGAAATCGGGAAGACTAGATGCAAAGTGGGCGGATAATTGCCAGCACAGACAGACACTCCTTCTGAATTTCTGTTTGTGCGGAGAGCGCCTCTCTCTAAGAAATGGAATTCGGCATTCCCAATATGCTCTTTTGCATACCCCGGAGGGACCGTTGTAACAGTCTGACCGATTCTTGAGCATTTTAGATATTTCAGCTTACTGTCCTTTTCCCGAAAAATGAAAGCGCAAGAAAACGTATTATACTATTTCCAGATTGTCTAGATTATTATTTATGATCGTCCGGCGATAATGTGGTGGGGTCGACATTGCTGCTGGCAGTTTGAACAACAGCGAGTAATTTTGCAGTAAGATATGAAGAGGAAACTGCTTATAACCGTGTCTTCTAAGCGTCAGATAGTCGAAAGTCTACCGGACACCAGCAAACTTGTCTAAAGGTCTACGCCAACGCACGCTGACTATAACCGAGGCAGTGGCTGTACGGCTAACGAATCCAGCGTAATGAAGTCAGAAGATGTTGATATAAGCGCTCTGTCTGCCGTGGCCAACGTCGATTCAACCCCTCTGATGACGGTAAGGTGTACCCCACGTACCTGACTTGCAAACATCACTCACAGGCTATTACTCCCTTCCCTTGCCCTGGTGACTTTAACTCACCAACCTGATCCTGTGGGTGGCGTAAGAACGATGAATGTTACTAACCCCTGAGACATTTATAAACCCTGTCAACTTCTCATATTTTCTCCGGGTAGTCTGGTTATGAATTATTGAAAAAATATGCTTGCCTGCTTGTTTTCAAGCCCCAGGAAAACATCTTTTAACAGTAGATTGCTTGCTCCATTCTCAGGGCACTAAAGAATACGAATGTTCCAAATCCACCAATTTCATAAAACCTTAAGTTTTCATTAACTAGGAGGAAATAAAAGTAATTTAATGATTTTCTGCTAAAACGGGTATCCCAAAGCAGACGAACCTATCATAGCAAAAGCATCAGGAGTTTTGCAGGGAATTCTGTACCATCTACAGGGTTGACAGTTCGAAACTCTTGCGTATCTTAGTAAGTTAGAAATTGTTTGCAAAGCAACAGCACACACTGTGTGTTTTTCAATGTCCTGCTTGCCTATCAGGACTAATAGCAACAAGACTTCTGAGATTCCCGAGACATGCTAATCCTATCGCAGACTAGTCCAACCTTCACTTCTCATGGCTGCACTTCAGTGAGAAGCCTCCATCAGGTGGGCCTATAACGAGTTTATTTCAATAGACGCTCGCTCTTTATCGGCGTATTTGCGTATTCGAAGGGAGCTGACATAAGAACATCACAAAAAAGGCAGAAGAGACCCAAAAAGGTCATTTCTGACTTATCAATCGTCAGTAGCCAGCTATGCCAAACTCCGTGATTTGCAACCGCTGAGTCTTGAACCCGCGACCTGTCTCCCTTGTCTTTGTCAATAATACCACTCTGCCTTTAATATTAACAGCAAAACGCCTGCTGTCGAAAGTATCAGGAGTCTTGCGGGGAGTTCTCAAACATCTGCAGGGTTGATAGTTCGAAACCCAGCGTAGTAAGTTATAAATTGTCTGTAAAGCAAAAGCACACACTGTGTGTTCTTCAAAATCTTGCTTTATCTTCAGGACTACTAGTAACAAGACTCCTAAATTAACCGTCAGTCGTTACCAGGACAAACTGCTCCTATCACAGACCAGTCCAGCCTTCAATTCTCATGGCCGCATCTCTGTTATTCAGCGCGATAAGTCCATCAGATGGGCTCATAGCGAATTTATTTCAATAGACACTTGACCTTTAGCGGCGTATTTACGTATTCGAAAGGCACTGTCACTAGAACATCACCAAGGAAGGCAAAAGAGACCGGGATGGTCATTTCTGACTTATTGGCCGTCAGTAGTCAGCTGTGCCAAACCCCAGGTTTTGCAACCACTGAGTCTCAAACTCGCGACCAGTCTACCATGTCTTTGTCAGCAATGCCACTCTGCCTTTAATATTACCAGCAAAGCGCCTGCTGGCGGGGCTTGGGATTGAGCCCCAAGGCACAACGAGATGAGTGTGTCCTCCACCACTGGGACTAGCAATGATAGTACCCATTTTTCAACTTCAACCGCCGGTTATTCATAGATGTTTTGGCAGGTTATTAATAACTCCTACTGACCCAACTGTGAAATCTCGGCCCCTCGGTGTGATTTAAACCCACGACGGAAAGGGGAAGGGTTTAGTACGAGGTCCCACGTCGTTCAAGTGGCTAGAGCATTGGTTGTACTAAAGCCGTCATGAGTTCGGGTTCGACTGAGACACCGAATTTTTCACAGATGGGTCAATATGAACTTGTCGGTAATGCCACTGTGCCTTTAATATTAGCCACCAACCGTCTGCTGGCGGAACCCCCAGGCACAACCAGACGAGCATGTCCCGTAATGAGATCGGTTCACAGCCTTCCACTACTGGCATTAGCAAGTTGGTCTCTATTTTTTCAACTTTCTCCTATGATGTTTGAATGCTGGACCGTAAATAACAGTACTTACTTATTGCCAGCCCGAAACTAAAACGCCTTCCTAAACAAAACAGATGTTGCTTTAAGTATTTTGGCAGTTAGGCACCTCCACTGACTGCGCACAAATCGCGGGAAAAGCATCTTTGTCGTTGAGTCTCAGTTGTTTACAACTTCGACGTTGGTGTCTCACTTGTAGGAAGTAATTGCAGGTTTTTCCTTCCAGTTCCTCTTCTAATTTACTTTGTCACTTTCGAGGACAGCATTTAAACTTTGTAAGAAAGTATTCCATGTCCGTGCTTCTTTGAAGAGTGGGCGTGTCGTAAATAACATGGTGTTTGGAAGTTGTCAGATGCCCTTTGAAACCTACAGGACCAAACACCGCATGTAAAAATGTTTTTTTCCATATTCAGTCTGTTTACGTTGGCCCGCACAGTCACAGTGAAGATTCCGTACGGTGTTTCCTTAAAAGTTCGCGTTTAGGCAAAAATTTACTAGGCCAAATATTAAAGGCGTATTCTGGAACTTCCGAAGAGGCAGCGTTTTATTCATTACTTATCCGAATTATGTTATGTGGCATTTAGCGCGTTGTGCCTTTCTGACAGCCTAGGGAAGTTCATAATTTAATTTAAATGCAGTTGTTGGTTTTTCATTTTCAAGAATAAGAACAGTCGCAGTCATCAGTTGTTTTATGAAATATACTAAATTACTTTCAAAGGCACCCCTGAACTACTTATGAAATCAACGTCATGTTGTGGTGGTATGCGTAGCAAAATATAATTGAAGTATCTAAGTAATAGTCGGATTACATACGGTAGATGTGCTGACTTACGACATGTAAACCGATATTCTGAAATGCGTTTTTGACTCAAAAGGATAACTTAAGTAGATTTTTATATTGACCATCCCGCAACATAATTCCTTGCAAAGATTTTACTCGGCAAAAATGATCACTTCAGTAGCAGGAAATGTTCTCACTGATTTTCGTTGCCCTTATAAATTCAAATATATCTCACAGAAAACATGCATAAAAATAGTTATTCTTTTGTTCATTTGGTAGAAAACCGCGGCTTCTGTAAATTCTATACTTCAAAGAAGAGTATAATATAATAATATGATACAACTCCTATACGGTCTCTTTTACATATACGGAAAATGCATAGATTGTAATTTGGAAACCCTGAATGCAAGTGTGATGGCATGTCGGCCTTAAAATTATTCGGGGATAGAAAGCCTTTTTTTTAAACCGGACTATATCCTTCTCTTAAGAATGCAGTTCAAAGATGACATAATGTTCTTCCAAATGAATGAAAGAATAAATATTTTTATGCATGTTTTCTGTGAAATATATTAGAATTTATAAGGGCATCGAAAACCAATGAGAAAGTTGGATGCTATTTAGGCAGTTCGTTTTTACCAATTGTTATTTTTTCGAAAGGCCATAAAGAAATTCATTTAAGTGCCAACATCCTGAAGTAACAGAACCACTTTGGTATTATGCTGCAAGGTGAGTACTATTACAACCTTACTTAAGCAACGTTTAGGAGTCGAAAACGCATTTCAGAATTTCGGTTAACATTTTCTGGATTTGAACATTTACTGTGGGTTACACGATATACCATGCTTGAAGGCGTAGGTGTTATCTTAAAGCCCGTGCACGTGCTTTGTCGATATTCTATCCCTATATGGCACAACTGAGAGGGGTTCGGCTCATCTGTGGGTGCTCCAGCGTCCCTGTATGCTATCCTGCAAATATTACACTTTTTACATGGCATCTTTTGATTTCCGCACAAAGTATTCGTTGAGGTGAAGTGAATCAGCCTATTCGAGATCTCTTAACTCAGACTAAAATCTGCCAAAAATACTTGGGCGGACGTCCACCAGTCACAGCGAAATAATCCCATAGTATTCATTAACCACCAACAACCAACCAAAGGCATTTACATAGGTTGTACTTCGTATCATACAGTGCATGACCGATCTCATGGCATATTGACCGAAATTCTGAAATGCGCTTTTGATTAGGAAGGATTACTAAGGTGGAGTTATAATACTGATTAGCGTGTGGCATAATCCTATAGTACCTCGGACTCGCCAGGATGTCGGCTTTTGTACGCACTCCTTGTCCTCCTGCACAGACCGTACTTGGTAAAAAATGACTACTTAAGCAGCATGCCTTTTTCCTATGGACTTTCGATGCCCTTATAAATTCAAATATATTTTATAGAAAACATGCGCAAAATAAGCCTTTTTTACTCATTTTGTAGAAACTAAGATTGTTTTTGCATATTATGCACAAAGAAAGTGTATATTTAGGTTTTAGAAAAGTTTCTAATTATGATATTTTTAAGACCGTGAGATGTCCATGCAAACAGGATCGCACATGTCCGTTGACCACTGCTGCTCACGAAATGTACAACACAGTCCGGATCCATCGCAAACTTTTATGAATTCTATGTGGTATCTTCTCACAGGCATAGAGGAATCTATGATTTTCCTTACGCGGAAAGCATGCACCTTGTTGACTGCAATCGCTGAACACTGATGCAATGGCAGATCAGGCTCAAAAGTATTCAGGAATCGGGTAACTTTTTAAAACCTAAATATACACTTTTTGTGCATAATATGCAAAAGACAACGCTATTTTCTACAAATTTAGTAAAAGAAAGTTTATTTTGCGCACGTTTTCTATTTGAATATATAGGGGCATCGAAAATCCATAGGAAAAAGGCATGCTGCTTAAGGGGTCATTTTTTACCATGTAGGGTCTCTGCAGGAGGCCAAGAAGTAGTGCGAACAAAAGCCGACATCCTGGCGAATCCAAAGTATTATAGGATTATGCCACACGTTATTCAATATTAAAACTCCACCTTAGTAATCCTTCCTAATCGAAAGCGCATTTCAGGATTTCGGTCAATAGGTCATGAGATCGGTCATGCACTGTACTTGACAGCGCAAATTAGCAATTTATTTCTGGAAAAATTTAAAAGCTGTAATTTTAAACTTAATTGTCTACTTGAAAGAACACAGGGGATGCAAGGGAACCCATTTATGAGCCTTACCCCTCTCAGTTGTCCTCTGCAGAAGTTTACGAGTATTGCTGTGGCCGAAGGATTCCAGTTAAGATATTTACATCAAGCTTCAGTCAGAGTGCTTGGGCTAATTTGTTCCAAGTTAGCGATTAGTTTACGTAAAAATAAAAAAAACTGTAATCATTAAATTCTCGGTCATTAAAGGCATGTTTATTTGCAAATATTTAGCGGACAGGATTTTTTCGACTTTAAGAATGCAGGTAGATTTAAAACGCATGAAATTTAGGCCCCGTTATTTTGCCCAGTACAAGCGAGGGGAATTCAAGTAAAGAAGGCGTTTTTGCGACCGGGGCAAAATAACCTATCCTACTATAAGAGCTGATTGCTTTTCAGACGAAGAACCAAACTAAAATGACGTCGATATGAATGATTTCATGTCAAATGCCATGACCAATTACATTTGAATCTTCGAACTGCAAGTTTGTTTCTCCGAGCCTTGTTTTAGTCAAATATTGACAAAAAAGTCACTCAAGGACACAAAACCGCTCAGAAACAAAGGAAAATTAGTTCCCACGCGAACCAAATTCCGTGTTTAACCATTTGATGAAGGTGATTGGAGATTTTTCATTCGGCATTTAAAAAAATAGCCGTTCATTGTCTGTCCAGGCCTAGGATGTACCTAGTGAGGATTGTTGAAACAACTGTGAGGACATTCGTTTTTTATCGAAAATGTCTGTTTGCCTCTAAATGTCTATATTTTTTTTCTTTTTTAATCACGGGGAACCATTGTAAACAACTTCACAGAAAATGAATTCGACTCCATTGCCCTTGTTTCTGTGTCACCCAATATGCGATTCTAAATCCGACACTCAGAATGTCTCTCTTTAAAATTCGCCTTTCACGTTATAAACTAGCATGGAGTATATTGCACCAGTTACTGTTAGAATCGCATAAAAATAAACTGATTAATTTTATCGCAATAAAGGAAGAAGATGAGAACTCGATGAAGATTCCGGCTGCGTGCATACAGTCCTGGCATTTTTTTACGTCACAGAAACTGCGACAAAAATATACGCGACTTATCTCATGAAACCTAATGACGGAAGCTTATATGAGAATTTTCAGACAACTTAGCGATGGCGCATTTAGCTCTCTCGTCCAGTCCCTTGATTTAAATGTCCTTTCTTATGCAGGAAATGTGTCCACGCATTTTTATCAGACATAATTTTTTATAAATTTGGGCGCAAATGGACGTTTGATACGTCCGGGCAATTTGCAGTGCTAATACTTGTCCTAAGCTTCGTTTACGCATTTGAGCATGTTTTTCTTTAACAGAAGGGCAGTGCGCCCTAAAATGTTTTACTAAACAGTGCTTGCTATACTTAAAAAGTGATTTTTTGCCCGATGCTAACCGTGAGAATCAGTTTGATGACACAAGGATTGCTTTTAGAGAACATGACGTTCTATCAATTTTTAGAAGTCAGGTAAACATTTCTATGTGGATTTCGTACCCTAAAGTGCATTAATAACGCACATAGACAATGCCTCGTATAAATGGGCTGATATTATTTTGTCGTTTGGAGAATTCATTTGTTGTCACGGAAACGACTACAACCGAACAGTCACTTTAAGTCGTGAGCCTACGGCGCATTACTTTACATTTGTTCTTGTTTTTACATTTATGTAATTTACAAATAGGACGAGGAAAACATAAACAGTTTCAGCAAAGAAGGGGGCCCAGTACCGGAACATTTTTAAAATTGTTTTGAGCTCTTAAACATGTGCATGAGTCCATCGTCAGAAAAAGTAACAGCAACAGCAGAATAAGCGACAGATATAGGGCGTGTTAGCCAATCATCGACTGATGTCGTAGGATAGGAGGTTACTGCGTAGGGCTCTGTACGCCGGCGCCAGATGGATAAATTGATTGACTGAGTTCTTATCCGAGGCCCAGTGCTCAATCAATTCTCAGCCTGTTTTGTCTCCGGCGTGGACGAATACATTGATGACCGTGAAGATAAGCTCATGGCCAATTGTGGCGATGCATCGTCTAGTCGCACAGCAAACTTATGTTCGTCTATGTGCGATCCGAGCATGCATTCAGTCTCGCCTGGGCACAATAGGTGAGCTAACTCATGAAATCTCAAAAGAAGTTTCGAAATGCGTTTTGGTCTCGGAAATATTGAATAAGAAGGGTTGTAAATCCAATCATCGTGTAGAATAATTCTATAATAATTCAGGTACCCCAAGACACCGGCTTTCGAACGAATTCCTTTCCGGATGCATCCAAAAAGCATACTCCGTAAAAAAACTGACTAATTAGGTAGCATGCATTTTTTCATTGATTTTCGATGCCCTTAAAGATTAAAATATATTTTCTGGAAAACATGCGTAAAAATATACATTAATTTACTCATTCTACAGAAAATTACGTTTTCGTTCAATTTTACACCCAAAGGAAGGGTATAGCTTGGTTTTAAAAATTTTTAATCATGAGATTTTTTTAATACTTTAAAATAGCCCTTCATAAAACGTCATGTCTCTGCATTTACCAATGTGTCTTGTAAAGCTAGCAGTATAACTGAAATCAAAAGCTTAATTTTATGAACCCCATATGGTCTGCTCTTAATACGGTGAAAGAATGTATGGTCTTCCGTACGCGGAAATTATAAGGCTTATAGGTAGGGAGCCCTGAATGCAAGTGTAACGACAGGTTGGGTTCAAAATTATTTGGGGATTGAAAACATATTATAAAACCAAATTATACCCTTCGTTTGCGTGTAGTATTGGAAAAAGACGTAATTTGCTATTGAATGAGCAAAGGAATGAATATTGTTATGTGTGTTTTTATGGAATATAAATGAATCTTTAAGGGGATCGGAAATCAGCGAAACACATGCCTACTAATTAAGTAGCCTTTTGTTCCAGAATGTAGTTCCTCCATGTAGCCGAAAGGAAGTTTTTCTGAAAGCTGGCGTCCTGGGGTAACTGAGCTATTATAGAATTATGCTGCACAATGATTGGTTTTACAACACAACTTATTTGATCTTTTCGAAACTGAATTTTTCGGAATTCAGTTGACATCTCATGAGTTAGCTTACTTACCGTAGTTACATGGACAGTTTTGGCACGGATGCGGTACACTACTCAAGATAGCTCCTTGGGCTTTAACCGGTCTTTAATTTTCATGGTCCTACTTCCAACACCTAACTCTGCAGCAGTGCGCGTGCTTGCTCCCGAAACGTACTTGGTGTATGACAGAGAATGCCATATCTTTAGGGATTTTAATGTGTGGGTTCTCTGGAGCGATCGCGTAGGCAGCAACTGATGAATGCCTTCGGACAGAGTCCTACTCAGTAACCCTACAGTCTTAAGCCGTTGTTCGATGATCGTCTTACAAGCCCTATAATTGTCGCTTATTCTGCTGTTTTTTCTACTATCTCTGACGATGGACTCCTATAAGATGTCGAAAGTTCAGAACAATAAAGAAAACGTTTCGGCGATCGGCCCCCTTCCTCTTCACTTATGCATGCACCTGGAACACGAACTTTTGACTTTCAGCAAAATATTACTATTTATATCGCCAGTCTTTCGTGCATCCGTAATCGTAGAATGGAGCTGAAAATTGAGGGCAAAGAGGTCAGAAATAATTGCAATGAAAAGCGCTTTCTTTCGTTCTTGTCAGGATTTTGGCTTCACTATGAATAAATGAAAGACACACCATCAGCGGAATGACGTATTGAAGTACACCCCAAAAAGTGACTTATTGGAGAAAGTTTTCTAACTACTTCAAAACATATTCCTTGTTGGCGTTTGTTGTCGACACTCATTTTATCCGATTAGGAGGTTTCATGTCTGGGTGACTCGTAATATGTGACCCAAAGGACCTTACTCACGGAAACAAACGTCCAAAAACTTACTACGTTAGCAAATGCCTTCGAGAGATATCTTATGTTAAGCGCATAATAGAAAATCTGTCCATGTGGGCGATCGATTGAATACATCGAAAATCATGAGCATTCTGCGATATTTTAAGACCGATCTGATGCTTAGCATAATCCAAAACAAAAAATCGTAAATTCATCTCATGGATGAAAATCGCTCATTATATACATAGTGTGGTATGCCCATCATTGCATCTGTAGATTCTATTAAATGTGCCATCCAAAGGCCGGCCCGACAATTTGTTCCCTGTTGGAAAAATAAAGCAAAATGCTGTTTGCTTTATAAAACCGCATTTCAGTCAATAAAAAAACGTAAAGATGCAGCAAATTTTTGGGAAACCGTTGTAGAATGAATACTCAAAATGCAGGTTACTGGCAAACCACCATACCTGACAGAACCTTAATCCTTGAAGGATACTTAAATGTAAACTTCATGTAAACATAATTCGTGAACGCTATTCTATTTTTGCTGTCATATACATTCCGTTTTTTCATATGGACAGGCTTTTTTGCATATTTAAAACCGCGGCTTGTACACTTACAATCATTTTTGACGTTTTCAAAATTGTTGACCTTTCAAAAAAAAACGGAATTTCTGTGTAATATTATATTACTTTTAATGTTTATTTTATGCTTTCAACCCCTTTAGAGCTGTTTTTTATTAATATAGATATTAGGTCTATGCGGTGGTGTCGGTTTCCGAGTAATTAGCAATAATTCGTAAATTTTGACACCTATCATCAGTTAGGTCACTTGCTGTACTTGCGAACCGCTCTAATGATTTGACAGCTTAAACAGCGCAAACAACGACATCCATTGCGGCCGAGTTATTTTTTCATTTGGCAACCCTTTAAGCAATGTTTTTCCGTCCCTCGTGACTGCGCCCTCCGTTGTTTGGCACGAGGAAATTAAATGACCCATCCCTGCCTTTACCATCCTGGCGACAGTGTAAGACCTGACGTAATTGAGCTCCAAGCGAACTGGGTAGGTTTTACAGTCGTAAACGAGTGCTGATTCAAACATCCGCTTCCACCAGTTAATACCTCCTAGCATTAGCACCGTCGTGAGCGCTAACGTCTACCGCGTGTCCCACGGAGTGGGGATAGTACCGGTGACTTGCATAGCATCTGCCGCACGCTGTCTTCCTTCACGTAAACTAGATGTGTCAACTAATGAAGTGTCAACCAAAATTCTGAAGTACCATTTGGACTCAAAATGACTACTTAAGTATGGTTTTAATATTGATTAACATGTAGCATAATCCTAAAATAATTCAGTTACTTTGAGATGCCAGCTTTTGGACGAACTTCTTCCCGGCCGCCTGCAAACGCTGTACAGAACGATTCCTTGAGTAGCATAAACGCTTCTCCTTGATTTTTGACGCCCTTAATAATGGTAATATATCTAATAAAAAACATAAATAAAAATATTTATTGTTCCATGAATTTGGTGGAAAACTACGTTTTCTTTAAATCGTATGTTTGGAAGAAGTGTATAATTCGGTTTAAAAATTTTTTTCGATTCCCGAATGATTTTGGACTTGACCTGCGACTGCACTTACATCCAAGGTTTCCAAACTACGAGCTGTACATTTTCTGTGTACAAGCGTAATGCACTTCTCTATAGTACTTAGAGGAAACCATATGGAATTAATAAAATTTGGCAGCGGATTTGAAATATATCGTAAACTTTAAAAACCGCATTAGCAAATGCAGAGACACGATGTTTTGTGAACGGGCATTCCACAGTTTAAAGACATCTCATGATTAGAAACTTTTATCATCAAATTATACCTTTTCTTCGTGCTTGAAGTTTGAAGAAGACGTGATTTTTTACCAAATCAGTACGGAAACTGACATTTTATGTTTTTAATGAAATTCACTTGACTTTATAAGCGCGTCGAAAATCAATCTGAAAAATTATTTCACGTAATTAGGCGTTCCTTTCAGGGTTTAGTGTCTGCAGGCGACTGGGAGGAAGTTCGCTCGAAAGCCAGCATCCCTAAGTAACTGAAATATCCTATGAGCATGGTGAATGCTGGTTGATATTAACACCCCACTTAAGTAATCTTTTCAAGTCGAAAACGGATTACAGAATCTCGGTTAACACTTCGTGAGTTAGCAAGGGGTCTGATGGCCAGACATTGTCATGACGACGTGAGGTGTGTTTGGACGCAGCGGCCGGTTAAGATAAACCGCCCACTGGCACGGAAGCCGGTCTTTGCAACGCGTGCGCGATCTTGTGATCAGGGGAGCCATAAAGGCCGCAGCAAGAAGGCGCGATTGAGCTTGACTCCTAGTCCTTCACTTAGTGACTTCACAAATAAACAGAAATGGAAACGAGAACCGAGCAATTCTGTCAGTTGGCAGTCTTCTAAGCCACAACACTTAACGCGTCGGGATAGATATAAGCGTGCTTGATCCAATATACTGAGCAATGCGTTGATTTTCGTGGGGATGGATTCCCAAGTGTAGACAAGTAGCGAATAGATGTGTATCGATGTTGTACACAGGTAGTCTCACAGGAAGTGACATAAAAGCCGAAAGATGGTTCGATTGATTTATATGCTCTCATCGAGCCATCCTAAGCTACTGGGACAGAGCCTGTCAGCAACAGCTGGAGCGGCCGCCATCAGGTTGCAAAAACCAATCTTGTGCGCACAGAGGTACCACGTTCAGACTCCGCGCCTGCAGTGGTCGAAGGTCGACTAATGCTGCAACTCTCCGCGCTCTTCCGCTCCACCCCCCCCCTGACACTGACTACTATTTGCCCCCACCCCCCACCCCCTCCCCCAAATTCGCACATCCCGCCCGTGTTTTAAGACGAACTGTAATCGATGTCTCTTTATCCCATATAATTGCACTGGCCAGATGAGAATTTATCGAATGCTACGTACGCTCGCCACCTCGTCTTCTGATTACTGCTATGGGAATTTTTGCAACTATAAAACAGTCGAAAGATGGCTCATTGACTTTACTCCCGAGCCGGGCATGCTCGGTCCTCGATCAAAAACCGCATGCTATCGCCTGAACATTGTGCTAAGCTCACTTTCCTCCCTCCCCCTAAATAAGTTTACGATCGTAGAAAAGTAATCTAATCTAATTTCCACAGTTTTGTTCCCCTTAACATCAAATGGAATTTAGTCCAGGGATTGGCGGCTAGAGTAAGACGCATCTGCTCACCTGAAGCTATTGAAGAAGAACTTCAACAGCTGCGGAACACACTTCGGGAGAACGGATACCCAGATAGATTTATCCTCAGAAATATTGGGGAACGCGCCGAAAGGCCCACTGTTGCGACTGCGGAAAAGAAAGATGTATTCATAAGATTGCCTTTTGCAGGAGACACAGAGAGCGAACTAGTCCGACGGCGCTTAACTACAGCTATCACGAGGGCATTCCCTGCAGCGAATTTACGCGTATGCTTCACAAACTCTCCCCTCCTACGTTTGGAAGGTAAAGACAGACTACCGTTGGAGGCCACATCAATGTGCATTTATTCATTCACTTGCTCCTGTGGAGCAGGATACATCGGCGGCACAACGAGACGCCTGGTAAAGAGGGTGTGTGAACATATGCCCCCCTGGCTAGACAGAGGTAAAACCCGGTCGATTTCGAGTTCTATTCTCGCACATTTAATCGATACGAACCACTGAGTCGATGCCAAGAAAGCATTTCAGGTTGTCTACCGGACACCAGCATGCTTCTCTAAAGGCCTACGCCAACGGATACTAGCAACGGCCGAGGCAGTAGCTATACGGTTAGCGAATCCGGTGCTATGCTGTCAGAAAACTCTGACACAAGCGCTTTCTCTGCCGTGGCCAACGCCAATCCCAAGTGATGAAGCCATGCCGCCTCAAATCCCTAATCACGATTATGGGTACTCCGTGTACTCAATCCAAGAACATCACACAAAGACTCTCTTACCTCCCTCCCCTAGCTCTGACGACTAACATCCGCCGACCTTGTCATGCGGGCGGCGTGGGGATGATGAGTGTTAATGACTTAATAACCCTTGAGACATCTATAAACACTGTTGATTTTGTACATTTTCATTCCTTCATGTAATTGTATTGGCCTGACGAAGAATTACCAAAAACGCGTGTTCGCCAACTTGACTTTTTAATCTTTTTAGTCGAAGACGTAGGAAACATTTTAGGTCAACATTACCCTAGTTTCGGTATATGCTGCGACCATTGAAACGATTGGTTTCTATTTTAGCTCTGCGGACCTTGCAAATTGCCGAAAAATACGGGCAAGCCGTTAGTTTAACAGTCAAGGGACTACGAAGGGTTATGTGTACTTTGTCAACTTCATTTACGCTGAGAATATCCTTCCCGCGAAATAAGGATACCAGGCATTCAGACTTTTGACGTCAAAAACTTAATATTCGTGATATTTTACTCTGAAAAAAAAACAGTCGCTGAACCCTATTTATTCACATTATCTTCTTTAAATATGCTCGAAAATGGCGCTATCGGTGGAGCTTTTTAAGCTTTCAGGCTTTAGAACCTCACCAATAGGAAGCGGTAGGAATCGCTGATTTCAGAAGGAGAACATTTACATTTAACTTATGCGTGAGGATGAAGACGCATTTCGTCTCCGAAGGGGCTTAGGGATGTAAATGACGATCTCCTAATGAAACATTTACTCCATCTTCGGGTGATTTTGACCCGTCGGGGCTAAAAAACCTGTCTGTTGTCTAAACACTTACACACGCCTGGCAGTATATCCGATAACAGTTATTTATGACAGTTTAGGGCATTTTTCGCACTTCCCAAGAGAACGCACTACACCGACGGCAACATTCAAGAACTGTCCGCGGATGATGGTTTGGATGGCGATTAAATTCGGTGAGCGGCCTGTCTGGCGGTCAACATCCGATACCATCAATAGCAAGGTTTTTATTGTAATTTTCAAGGATGCTTTCGGCTACAACTGCATAAGTCGGCGCCGAATAGATACTGTAATTTTGTACGACAATGCACCTGTCCACCATTCTAAAGAGGTACGAATTTGATGCTGCTTGCAAATATAATCTAACATTTTAGACAACAACCACCCTCTCCGCACTTGGCCTCCAAACCATTTTCATCCCGGCCAACAGTCCTGATTTGAATCCTATCGAAAATCTTTTTGGAATAGTCAAAAGAAATCGGCACAAAGCTAAGAAGACTCTTTCAATGCAGGACAAATTGGATTTCATACTCAATAATTAAATTTTACAATCCACCATAGACAACCTCGTCATGTCTATGTCTGACAGAATTATGGCCGTTATTAATTCAAATGGATAATCAACAAAGTACTGATTTTTTGCATCTGTTGCTGTCCTTAATTATTTTTGCCCTTTTATTCGCACTTCTTCTTTATACGCCCTCATACGTAGACTTTATTAACTTGGTTGTAATATAGGCGTTTCTCGAAAATGTGACTTCTGTCGAAAATTATTTATTTTTATCTCAGTAAATAATATTTTCTAAACCAAACTTTGCTTTATTTCTTTGACACATCTTTTATTTTCCGCTATCAGACTTTGGGAGCCGTAGTGTTTACCGATTCTGCGTTAAAGTCGTTTACCTGTGTTTCTACATGAATTTCATGAGTTAGCACAAGTACTGTACTAACTCGCGATCATCCTGCGATCTTGCGACTTTTGATCTAGATTTTTTAATTCAAGTGCTTTTTTACTCAAATCGTGGTTGTAAAATTCGGAAAACTACTTCAGTCGGCGGCTTTGCTTCTAAACATTCGGCAGGATATTTTGCAAAGGAATTTTACACCTGATCGCATCACGATCAGATTTCACGAATTTTGTTACCTGTCGAATTTACTCGTGTTTTATTTTATAAAACTGATTTAGCTCACATTTTCTCCATAAAAAATATGCATTCCGGACTGCGTTTGACGTTCCGTAAGAATGGTGCATGCTTCTCCTAGCAGAAAGATTTGCAACAAAGGTATCTGATGAATGCAAATGGAGTTGTCCGACCCATTGCAGCCTTTTGGGACATGGAACGTGAAATCGGGTGAGGTATCTCAGGAAATCCTTATTGAAATTATGTAACCTTATTTCGGTAACGAAAGACTACTTCGGGGGGAGGGGGTTTATGACTGATTAACGCTCAGATATTTCACTGACGCCAGGATGCCGGCATCTGAATGCACGACGTTCCGACCGCCTGTGAAAATCACGTTCATTATAGAATGCCCACCCTAGTAATAATATTTTTTAGTTCGCAAAAAGCGACTGTTAATGTTGTTTGGGCTGTTTCTAATAATCTGTGATGCTGTTACAAATTCGAATATATTTTGCAGATAAAAGCCATAAAAGTATTTTTCCTTGTTTTCATTTTACGGAAAATTACGTATTCTATAGAGTTTTTAGTTGAAAAAATAATCAAGTAGTTTTGCGAAAATTCGACATTGTGGACAGGTCTCTATATAATGTCTCTTCATAGAGTTTACAACGTTCGCTGCAAATTCTGGTAATTTCTAATTTCTAGTTCCTTCAATAACGTAGAGGAATATTGGATTCTGCTGGAATAGGAAAGGCGCATCCTGCAGTTTGGAGTAGTTAAACTAAAGAAAAACGGCGGGTCGGTCTCAAAATCACTCAGGAACTGAAGCACTGTTTAAAATTGACAGATACTTTTCCTTCGAGTTCTGAACTTTTAAACAAGGTGATTTGCTGCTAAATTTGTTCAAGACAGAATACGTTGTGCATGTTTTTTATGAACTATAATTAAACTTGTAAGGGCATCAAATATCAACTGGAAGAAGTCACAACGTTTAACAGAGCTTGGCCATTGCAGGTGGCCGGAAAACGTGCATTCAACAGCCGAAATCCTGGCATGACTAGAATACATCTAGAGATTTTGGTCTTAGATAACCAATCTTACAATTCTATCTAAGTAATCCTTTCCGATCGAAATTACATTTCAGAGGTTCGGCTAACGCTTCATGAGATATGTCATCAAATGGAATTCCATGAGCCAGTTGTTATTGGTTTTGGGTTAGAAAATGTCCCTCAGCTATACGAGTCGGATATGAAAAAGGTATGGCCCACTTCGATGCGAACGCTGATCAGTTTTGACAGTTCGGGCATCTTTATGTCCACCGTGTGCCCTACGGCTTGCCGGATGGCTTGTGTAGCATCTGTCGCACTCTTCCCTTTCCCACCATCCTAGATCCGGTGGCAAGACTACAGTGAGTGACCGATCTCATGAAATGTTTGCCAAATTCTGAAATGCGTTCATGATTAAGGAGTACTTGAGCGCGGTTGCAATACTGGCTATTTTGCGGCATAATCCTATAATATCTCGGACTCGGCAGCATATGAGATTTTGAATGCACTGCTTTTCAATCTCCTGTAGAAACTGTACTCGGTTGAAAATGACTACTTAATTAACATGCATTTTTCCCATTGATTTTTCACGGTCTTGCAAATTCAAATATATTTTATGAAGACTACAGACAAAACTATGCTTTCTTCCAGTCGTTTGATAGGAAAATACGCCTTTTGTATATTTTATACTCGAAGAAGGAGTATGAGTAGGTTTTAAAAGAATTTTCTAAGTCCGGAATAATTTGGAGCATGATCAGTCGTTGCATTAGCGCTTGGTGATTTCAGTCTACAAGGTGCATGCTTTCCGCGTAAAGAAAACGACATATTCTTATATACCTTCAAAAAGATATCATACAGAGTCCATACAATTTTTTAATGGATGCGGCCTACGTTGTACATTTCATGAGGAGCTGTGGTAAACTGCGAGATACGATGCTATGTGAATGGACATTGCGAGGTCTTAAAAAAGCTCATCATTAAAAACTTTGTTAAAACGTAATTATACTCCTTCTTCGAGTATAAAATATAAAAAGGCGCAATTCTCTATCAAACGACTGGAGGAAAGCATATTTTTGTCCGTGGTCTTCATAAAATATATTTAAATTTGCAGAACCATGAAAAATCAATGTGCAAAAATGCATGCTACTTAGGTAGTCATTTTTTTACCGAGTATGGCTTCCATGGGAGATTAAAAAACAGTGCATTCTACAGCTGTCATCCTGTAGAGTCTGAAATATTATAGGATTATGCCGCAAGATAATCAATATGACAACCGCGCTTAAGTACTCCTTCCTAATTGAAAACCCATTCCAGAATTTCGGCCAACATTTCACGAGATCGGTCACTGACTGTAAGCCAGGACAATCGGGACGGAATCGGACACAGTGGCTTACAAGATTAAAGGGGTCACCCACGCATGCCAAATGCGTCTGGTCCGCACCCAGTGGACCAAGTTTCCGCCAAAATAAGGGTTGGTAGGTTGGGATCCCATCAGAGTGACATAGAGGCCAATGTTTAAAGGAGCTATTGAAACCTGATTCTCCGTCTTCTAAGGGGGCCACTGCTTTTAGCTCATCATGATAGTTTAAATGCCCATCAAATTGTTTACAGTGCGCTGAGTCGACTCCACTTCTTCTTCACGCTCTCATGCCCTAATCCACTCTCCGTGCCGGTCAGCTGTGTGATGTGATCTTGCGCAAGTGGTTGACAGAACCCAGTAGACTGTCTAAGCGTACCACACAACCGGGTCCCGGCATGCAGACCGGGTTCTCATATAAAACAGGTGAACGACTCGGATCTTACAGTAGGTGGGCTAACTCATGGTGTCGGGATGTCAGGATGCCGGTTATCGAACTAAGTTCTTTTGGGCTGCACGCGAGAACTACGCTCTGCAAAAATAATTGCTTCTTAGGTAGCACGCATTTTTTCATTGATTTTCGACGCCCTTAAATATTCGGTTAAACTTCATAGAAAACAGGCATAAAAATATTCATTCTTTTACTTATTCGGTAGGACATTACCTCTTTTTTTCAACATTATACTCAAAGTGAGAGTATAATTCGGTTTCATAGAACTTTGCCAATTCCAGACTAACTTTGAACCCCACCTGTCGTTACACTTGCATTCAGGGTTTGCAAACTACATAGCGTGCATTTTTCGCCTACGGAAAACCATACATTCCTCTACGGTATTAGGAGGAGATCATATGAGGTTCATAAAATTTAGCAGTGGATTAGAACCGTATCGTTAACTTTACAAGCCACACTGGTAAATGCAGAGACATGACGTTTTATAAACGGCCATTTCACGGTATTACAAAATCTCACAACTGAAAACTTTTAAAACCGAATCACACCCATCCTTTGAGTATTAAATTGAAAGAAGACGTAATTCTCTGCCGAATGAACAAACGAATAAGTATGTTATGAATTTTTTCCATGAACTATAATTGAATCCTAAAGGGCATCAAAAAACCAATGAAAAAATGCGTAATACCTAAGTAGCAATTTTTTGCAGAGCATAGTTCTTTCATGCAGCCATACGAACATAGTTCGATAGCCGGCATCCTCAAGTAACGGAATTGTTATGGAATTACGCTGCGCGATGGCTGGTTTTACAACCCTTCTTAATTAATATTTTCAAAACGAAAACGCATTTCGGAATTTAGGTCGACGTTTCGTGAGTTAGCTCACCTACTGTACATACGCGAGAGTGTCATAGAGGGCTATTTGAGAAAGATCCATTGTAGCCTTACTCTGAGTCCCCCGTCAGCTACACAACACATACACAGAACTGACCTCAGTTATCCGCCTACCAGACCACAAATTTTAGTGCGGCATGATAGACTCAAGCCCATCGGATTCCCTACAATGATGAATTCTCTGAAGTACCGTGGGGGTTGAATTCCAAGGGTCAAACTCATTCCCTCTCTTTTCTCTCTTGTGTACCAGTGAACAGCTGAAGATGGATTTAGACACAATGGTTGACAGACTTGCGACCATCCGGCTATGTGTGCCACACACGACCTTGTCAAACACCAGTTTGCAACAAAGAACGCGTTTCCTGCTATCATGAGAGGTGCCCAACCTGGGATTGTGGCGTTGGTTTGTATGCAGTTCGTGGGCTGGTTGGGAGGTGTGTAATGGTGAGGTCTGAACTCCGGGGAGTTACGGGAGTTTTTTGGGAGGGTGCATATGATCGAGTAGACCCATGCGAACAAATGAAGCTTGTGCAACGGGTTTCTATTGGTGCTCTTGGCAATAACTGGCCAATTTCAGTGCAGTGGAGTTGTAAGCGACACACGAGGCAGATGCGTTAGGTACAGTAGGTGGGCTAACTCATGAAATGTTGGTCGAAATCCCGAAATGCGTTTTCGTTTCGAAAAGTTTACTTAAGTAGCGTTGTAAATGGAATCTTCGTGCAGCGTAATTCGAAAATACATCCAGTTAGCTCAGGATGTCGGCTTTCGAAAGAACTTCTTTTTGGCTGCATACAAAAACTATACTCTGTAAAAAAATGTCTATTTAATTGGCATGCGCTTTTCTCACTGATTTTCAGTGCACTCAAAAATTCAATTAAGTTTCACAGAAAAAGCGAAAAAATATTCATTTTTGATCCTTCGGTAGAAAATTGCGTCCTCTTGCAATTTTATATTTGAAGGAAGGGTAGAATTCAGTTTTAAAAAGGTTTACAATTCCATGATTTTTTAACACAGCGAAATGATCGTTTATAAGGCGTCATGTCTCTGCACCTACTTATGTTGTTTGTACAATTTACAATACGGCTCAAATTCACAGCTAAATTCTATAAACCCGATATAGTCCCCTCTTAATAACGTAGAGAAATGGCATTGTTTTCCGTACGCGAAAAATATACGGTTAGTAGTTTGGAAACCCTGAATTCAAATGTAACGGCTTGTCGGGTTCGAAATTATTCGGAAATTGGAAAAGTTGTTGAAAACCGAATTGCATTCTTTCTTCGAGTATAAAATTGACAAAAGACGTCATGTTCTTAAGAATGTGCAAAATAATGCATTTTTGTGCATGGTTTTCATGAAACATAATTGAATTTCTAAGGACATTGAAAATCAATGAGAAACATTCACGCTACATAAGTAGTCATTTTGTGCAGAGCACAGTTTCCGCCTGCAGCCCAAAAGTTGTTCGAGGACGGGCATCCTGAGAAACCGGATTTATTTGAGAATTACGCTGCAAGATGATAAGTTTTGCAACCCTACCTAATTAAACTTTCCGAAACGAAAACGCATTTCGGGATTTCGGTTGACATTTCATGAGTAAGCCCACCTACTATACATGTGTGGTTGCAATATGCTCAGGGTAGGCTGGTGGTGGTGGTGGTGGTGGTGGTGGTGGTGGTGGTGGTGGTGGTGGTGGTGGTGCTGGTGCTGGTGCTGGTGCTGGCGACGACGACGACGACGGCGGCGGCGATATTGCTCGTGGTAGTGCTGGCGGTGGCAGTAGTGGCGAGGCTGCCAGCGCCGGCGGTGCGGTGTTTTCAGATGTGCAATGTGGGTTCTGGTGTGTATGCATCATGGCGGATTCCGTTGTCGTGGAGGTGCAGGATGTGCGTGCGGGTCAGTTCATGACGTTTAGAGAAATTCTTGCCTGAAAAGGTTTTATTCCATCTGCTGACCCACCGTCTTTCACACCGAGCGTCCCAATCTCAGTGCTAGGTGGTGTAGCCCTGTTTACCAATTTCCTAATGAAACATTGTAAACGCCGTGTACTCTGTCATTTGTTCATTTTATTTTATCGTGAATTTCAATGCGACCGACGGCCCTTGCTTATAAACCTAGTTTTGGCTATCCATTCGCTTGTAATCTCCGCTACGTCATTCATTTCTCACATCTACTACTAAAAACTTCCTTCTCTGATCCGTTTAGGCCTACCTTAAAATTAATATTTAATCAACTTTCTACTGGCTACTACAAATATGTCAGTCAAGGGGACAGGAATTAGGATTCGGCGGTAAGAAAACGTATTTAGTGCCCTTCTAGATTCCCGTTCTGTTTTTTTCAATATTCTGACAAGTTTTCCCACTTTTTATCATTGAAATTCCCTCAATTTTGACTTCTCATTTTTTGTAATTATCTTATGATTTTTTTTATATTTTCAAGCGTTCCGTTGCATTTTACCAAAACTACCATAACAGTGACAGAACGGTTTTACTCAGTTTTCATAAATTGGGGTAAACTGCGCAGGTTTTGCTATGCTCTCCTGATTATAAGGTGCGATGGTTGGTTATAATGAATTAAAATTGCCGCCAGTCAAGTTGGGCGTGAGCGGTGAGGTGTGCTGCGTCCAGGAGTGCGGTAGCATTCAAACTGATTGTAACGATAGAGGAATAAAACAAAGTCAATTTCAATAAACGGGAACTCTTTGGACAAAGAGCAACGCTGAACTGCCTATCAACACCGTTTTTTTCATCTCAGGTAGACTTCAAAAGAACAAATCGCTCATGTGTTAAGTCTCCTCTATCAGCGGACTCTACCATTAACGCCCTACCGTCTCAGTGGACTTTTAGATAGTGTTTATCCCTGGAGGGGTGTAAATGAAGCCCCTAATAAAAAATCAATTCCTAGAACACGTCCATTTCAACCAATAATTCATTGAGTGTGTAAAACTAGATTAGTCAGGGACCCAAATAAGTGTGAGCACGTTTTACCTTTTGAAAAAAACTGAACGATCCACCCCCATTACCTCCTGTGGATCCTCTTTCATTTGCAAATTATGAAACACAAAACTATTTCAAATCTCCCTTTAAAATGTGCGAAATCATGACTAAATGCTTCCATTTTCTTTTTGGCGGGAAGACATGCTTATAGCACCGATCTATATTATTTTTGCTACTTGGTATCAACGAAGCTATCTTGGCTTGCTGGAAGGACTGTGTATAGACACCTTTTGCAAGAATGGTTTTACTGACAAAGACAAGGGAGACTGGAATGGCCCTTTATGGCTTATTAGTCGTCGCCAGCCAGTCATACCCAACCTCGAAGTGTGGAACACCTAAAGATTGATTCTATTTCATGCGCCGCTGTGCGGCTGCTGGTTGGGCTCGAAAGACAGCTCGTAAAGCACAACGGGAGGAGAGAGTTCAACAGAAACTATCGGTGAGCGCCCTTCTACCCTTCGGGAGGCTCACTATACAAAAATATTCCAGGATTCTAATTAAGAAGGGCATTGATTTAGTTAACGTGGAATTTTAGTAGCATGTCTTAGGGTATAATGAGGTATGTGAAAGTGAGAGAATGTTGCTGGTAGTAGAAGTAAGTAACCATTCAGCAGGCATCTGGAACTTCCTACAGCTCACAAACTTCTACGTCATCACAGTCGTAGAGCTAAGAACCAAACAACCACATCAGACTTAAGAAGGCCGTACAGAGATAGCCTGACGACGAGTTTACTCAGTGAGGAAGAATAAGAACTGCCAGGCCGACCGCCCGACAAAGGTGCAATCAGCTCCCCGACGGAGTGGTGACTCGCAAAGCACGCAGGCAAAACGTCCGTCAATCATCCCCCGAGAAGCCGAGGCAGCGAGAGGAGAGGAAAATCGATCAGCAAGAGGCCGACCTACACAACATACCACTTGAAATTTCTGATCGATTAAGGGCATTTTACGCTTTGACAATGGAGAGCCGACCAAGATCGTTGAAACATCATTTAAAAAACCTGTTTCGGAGGGCCCATCTTCTTCAAATAATCAACCCGGATCTCTCAACTTTGCCAATCTGAACATTAATATCCCACTTTGTTCATAACGGCATGAAAAAGTATTTCCACAGAAAGCGAAACCATAGTAAGAGGATCGTAGACAGATATCATTATGTCAGCTGAGGAAAACCTATCTGAGGACTCAGAACTCAAAATCAGTAAGATGCCTTGCCATTAGCCGCTGTTTAGTTGCTATTGGGCTTCGAGGTTGAGCCCCAGGGCACAAAGCCTGATCTGTGTGTCCTATAACGCGATTGAAGAACGTCCCTCAATCTACCAGTTTACGGAACGCGCACGTCCTATTGTGCCTTACGCTCAAACTAGAAACCTCGCAGGCAGTCGTATAACGACTAGTGGTAGTGGGTAGGGTGGCACCGACAAAGACAAGTGAGACCTGAATGGCCATTTACGGCTTATTGACCGTCATTAGTCAATCATATCCAACCCCGGGCGTAGGTTACCTAAGATTTGAATGTCGGATCTTTAATCCTTGCGAGCGATACTACCATGACCTAAGGACCCATTGTCCTGTCTGTTTGATCGGGAATATTAAGGTAGATGGGTGTTCACCGACCAAGTTACGGAACGTTCTTCCCTCCCTATCTTGGGACTCAAGCTAACGTGGTAGCGAAGTCGGATTTCGACAAACGAGTTCCTCGGAGCAGAACGCGCCATCTTTCAGTCAACCGATAATAGCCGGTTGCGCAAATCAAGCTGGATCCTACTGCTAGCAATCCCGAATATTCACTGAATATAAGCAATGCCAATATGTTAACAGCTTATAATAATTCCGGTTCGCTGAAAAATGTCCGAGAGCTATCAACCTACTATGCACTACTATGTGCCTTCTTGTCGTTTGCTTAACTGACGAGCAAAAGGCCCAACCGAAACCCTGGATATCAACACATTTCTGCGTCTGTAGTATACTTTACGAGGCTCCTAGGAGCTATGACCGCGAATTCCAGATATTTCAGTATGTTTACAGTTCTGCGAGAAACAGGCGGGTTAACCAGGTTTATATTGATACAGATGCTGGCATAAATAGGTCCCAATTTTCGCATTACAATAAAGTGATGCAACTCTGAAACTAACGCCTTACGGACGCCGTTTTCGGGTCTGACATTGACACATCTCTGGTACGCATACGAGTACGCTGGCGACGCGTGGTCAACGCCGCGACACCGTGTAGACAGACCTGCACAAACCTTCGCAACAGCTAATCAAGGTCCGGAAATGACGGCAGAAGTGTCCGAGAGATAATTTAATTCAGAAATGCAAAAATTATTTACTGTAATGTGATGTGAAAATATTTCACCGTGCTGTATGTCTGATTCTGAGAGTATTTAAAAAAGATGAGTAATAAAGAAATACACACGCGTAGGCACGACAACCATTGTTCAGTTCTCTTATAGCAGAGCAGACCACAAAAGCAACTGTATCCAAGGTACAACGCCTGACCTTATCTGCAAATACTTAAGGGTCCAGAACATGGGAGGAGAAAAGCATAACAGTACCGAAAGCATATTGTTCTGCGAGCTTCAGAAGTGCAGAGGATCATGCGTCTAGCAGACCATCTCTGAATGACCTGCGATTCGGACTCGGGTTTTTGGTCAGCAACCAGAGCCACAGGCTCCTTATCCTGTCAATTGTTATCGATATTTCCGTCTGTGTTTATTCCCTATCACTAAAAGACCGCCTGAAAAGACGCCGGACTGAGCTTTAAGGCACAACAGCATTAGCACGTCCTGTGATACGATCGGTGCGCGCCTCTCCACCATATGCATTAGGTGACTTAACTCATGAAATGTCAACCAAAATTCTGAAATTCGTTTACATTTCGAAAAGATTAATAAAGAAGGGTTGCAAAACTAAAAATCATGCAGCATAATTCTATGGTAATTCAGTTATTACAGCATGTCGACCCTCGAACGAACTTCTTTACATCTGCATGCAAAAACGATACTATGCAAAAAATTACTACTTAAGTAGCATGCACTTTTTCTCATTGATTTTCGATGCCCTTAAAAATTCAATAATATTACATGGAAAACATGCATAAAAATATACATTCTCTTGCTCATTCGGTAGAAAAGTACGTCTTCTTCCAACTTTGTGCTCTAGGAATGGGTGGCATTCGAATTTTAAAAACTCACCCAAGTCACGTTGGTAAATGCAGGGACATGCGTTTTATATACCGTCATTTCACGGTATTAAAAAATCGCACAAATAGAAACTTTTTAAAACCGCATTATACCCCTCCTTAAGTAAAAATTTTATCTTTAATCATAATGACTCTCATCTTCCCTCCGATTACATCCCCCTATCACCATGTGCCTTCCAACCCGTGTCTGTCGCAACACTAGAGAAACACCTTAAAAAGGTCCATGGATCAACGGCTGCCGGACCAGATGGTGCCTCGCCCTTTCTTCTTAAATCTTGTTGTTCTCAGATAGCACATATGTTAACGCACCTTATTGACATGTCTTTCATGGAGTCCAAGATTCCCGACGCCTGGCGTACAATGAAAATCACTACCATCCCTTAAAAAACCCCTAATTTTAGTCCTTAACCTTTTCATCCAATCGCCTGCTCCTCCGCAATCCTAAAGCTTGCTCAAAGAGTTGCCCTAGATATTATAAAGTCTTTTTCTTCCAGTTTTTCCGACCCTTTACAATTTGCGTACAAAGCCAAAAGGAGTATTTTAGATGCTGTTGCTCTTGTGTTCCAGCCTGCTCTAAAAGAATTAGACAAGAGTTGCCGCTAGTATGCATGCGCTTTTCTTGACCACTCTTCCGCCTTCAATACCAGCCCACGCCCTCTTCTTCTTACCAAAACATCCGCGTGAGGCCCTCCAGGCTGGGTCGTCACTTGGCTTAGCGATTATTTTACTTCCCG